TGCTCCCATCGGTTAATTTTCGTAATCGATTAATCGTTGTCAACAATTGATTAATATCGATTAATCATATTGATAATTAATTTAATACATTTGCTATTATCAGAAACAATTTTGTCTCCCCTCCCCCTCCGGACGGCAGAAATTTCCTCCGTGGGGGGAGTGTGGATCTTTTCTGGAACGACCCAATATCTAATGGCACACAAAGGGTCTTGCATACTAATGTTTAATCAGGGATGGATTTACTGGGGTGCCAGGGGGCAGCGACTGAATTGGGGTGCATGATGGGTGTGCATTGGCACATAGAGGTTTAATAATTAATGGTACTATAGGCAATCTATTCTTGCCTCTCATTTCTTTCACCTTGTAAAGAGCCCCAGGGTATTTAATGGGTAAATTATGGGTACTTACATTTACAGTTGCTTGCCCTTGCGTAAGCAGGACTGAATTGATTCGCTGTACTCGGCTCAACTCATGACATCGTAGGAACCCTATGATACCATAAATTAAGCAGATGGCAGGATTTTTCCTCTCTGAATGGTAATCGCTTTCCAGTAGGCTTGTAAGTATGTTGTTCACGGTAGGACATCTTGTTGAAAGTTCATTCAAAACCTCTGTCATCCAACCTTCAGCAGACATCCCTTCATATTTTCTCTTTCTCAAGACTGATGGTGTGCTTCTTCTGGCGACTTCGAGGAGCTCTTTATTTGCCTTTTGTAAAACGTCATGTTCATGTTTAGATGGCTCTTCTTCATCCAACACTTGACCCTAGATAATGAAAAAAAATGAGACAATAATAAAATATTTATTTACTTAATTCCTTATACTGTATAAAATACTTTCTTATTTCACAAATAGCCCAAATAGTACACCTCGCCATATACACGTCGATAGAATAAAATATAATTGAAAAAATACATGATAAATTCATGAATACAGTAGAACCATTGTCTACTGTAATTCATGAATAAGAACATTCATGAATAGACTGAATAGCATGAATAATAAATCAGTTTCACGACGCAAAATAATCATAATCGCAAAATATCGCTCAGACTTTATATTACCAGTAAAATATTGCTTTTTGATTGAAATACTGTAAGTAAGAAATAGTGTTACTTTACCTCAGTTACAGGTATAGAAACCTCAACCAAGTCAAAGTCTATGCTACGTCTACGCGGACCAGCACCAGCTGCATGTATTTTGGTCGACTGTTTTGTTACAGAAGGCGGAAGTTCTTTACATCGCTTGGTACGCAAATCATTCTGTAACGATCGTCGAGTCTCCACAATCGTATTCTTGAACTGAATGGCATTATTTAACCTTCTCTCGCACGGCCTACAGATCAGATACGGAAGGAGATTTTCTTGTGGCAACGCACAACCGTATATCTGCTCTATATTTCGCAAAATGGTCAGATTCGAGCTTCGAAATATATTTTTGTTGTGAGTACGATCAACAACAGAGTTACAAAGCCTGCATCGTGAAATATCAGTCGATACCGATTTCTTGTAATATTTTTTTGGCGTGTCTTTGCTAGCCATCGGCGTACTGTCGACTGAAAAAATACAGCGGGATCATCATATTTGCCTTCGGCTGAAATTTGATCTCGTTCAGCTATTAATCAAAGTTGACATCGCAATCTGATACTCAACTGATTAATTATCAAGATGATTTTCATCAACTCCATGGTGTATTTTACTTAGCTTGACAATAAAATACAGTATATGAGATTTCGTGGTTCCAATTTAATAGTGAAACTTCCAAAACAAACTCACTCGCTCCTTGCATAATTTTCCCAGCGCTATAGAATACTCCTCTCCCACCCCTCCCACAGTTACAATTGAATTTACCTCCCAGAATCTGGGAGGCACGTGACCAGCCGCAGCCAGGGTCTCTCCCAGATGACAGACGGAGAGACCCTGGGAACGAGGTTGCATCCGGGAGTCAAAAATGCAATCTAAACAACATTTTTCACGAAGGCAAAGGGCACTTTGCCACCCTTTGCCACCGGAAAAAAGGGCACTTTTTGTGTCTTCTGAAAACTTGGGGGGCCTTGCCCCCTCCCCGGTTCCTACGATCCTGTTTTAAGCTTTCGTAAATGTCGTCATTGAACCACAACAGACATCAAAAAAACACTCAGGAACGTTTCCTATTTGTTATTCGTGCAGTTATATCCATTTGAGTCGAGTTTGAACGAATATTTATCTGATCTTGCTTCGCCACATTGATTCATTTCGTGTTCCGCGTATATAACGTAAGTGCCCAAAAGAGAGGTATTCACCCCCTGGAATATTATATTTCAATATGTTTTCAGGGGGTGATGGCCTCTCTTTAAGGCACTTGTTAAGAACATAGCGGACTGAAAAAATCCCTTACGCTAAACTAATCTGAAGTGAGACCTCTGTATGTACTTACTCTGTGGTTAAACTAAGATTTTCACCTCATTACAGCAACGTGAATGTTTGTTGTTTGTTGCGATGTTGGAGGAGTTACATAAAAACTGTCTCAGACAGCGGATCGTGTTTCCCGAACTTAGCCGTGTGTAAGATTATTTTAAAAAGCTTCAAAATATTACAGTATTCAAGTTCCTTAGCTCTCAATCTGGAGCTGAAATTGAGACGGCGACGTCGTGTTTGCCTCGTCATCTTTTCTAAATCTGTCTTTTAACATATTGTAGCGAAGCGTTTTGTTTCAATAGTGGGTTTGGCAAATACAATGGCAACGTGGATGAAGACGTGACGATCAATCGAATTTTTACTCCAGGGGCCGGTTCTTCCAAATTAAATATCGATTAGCTTAACCCTGGGTTAACTTAAAATTGAAAGCAATCTTCCTGACAGCTTGTCTATAAATTTGGAAATGTTTCTTCAGAAATCTTGTCTGGATCGATAGGAGTTTTCTTCTCTGAAGTTTTGAAATAAACAGACGTGTAGAAATACACAAACTAAAACAACACATTAAATCAATATTTTAAGTTTCAGCCCAGTTGTACCAAAAGGTATAAGCGCTAGCGCCATAAAGTTTCATGGTTTTGATGGAATGCAACATGTACGCACTGCGTACCTATTTTTTATTTGGTATCAAACAGAACAGTCTAGACTTAATAGTAATCTCGAGTCGCCGGAGAGTACATGCGGGGTGACGTGCTCTTTATGTATACAAAAACAACAAATTCTAATACACCCTTACGGAAAGTACGTCATATTGGTTATACAGCCTCGTTTTCATGCATGTGAGATACGTTGAATCCAAGCATCTGAATCCCGAAAACGAAGCTCTATAGCAAAACTTTGGCTATAGAGCTTCGTTTTCGGGATTACCAAAGTGATGTGCTTTCCAGATCGGTGTATTGAGAATAATGATCAAAGGCCCTTGAGGCCGACTCACGGATGCGATCAAATGAAAGTAACAGAAAGAATTGCCATTTGTCATGCTTCTTTTGCCATATCAAAAGAACGAACGCGTACTCCAGCCCGATTTCCAGTTCTGAAAGGCCCGATTCGTAGCGAACAGTGCGCGCAAAGCAGGCTGGTCATTTCCCATTGTTTAACTGGACTGCAGCCCCACACTCAAGTAACAACCGTGAGCCAAAAATGATAAAAACTAGGGTACCTGCAAGGTAGGGAATGCTGCGGGCAGCAAATATCTGAATAGACAGACACGCAATACTTTCCATTATGTGTTACCTGGAGTTTTTAAGCTTTCGTAAATGTTGTGATTTAACCACAACAAATCACATTCACAACAAAGAAATATTTAGGAATGTTTCATATTGGTTATTCATGCAATTTCAAGAAGCACCACAGACTTTGTCTCAAGTTTGAAGGAATATTTCCGTTATTTTGCCTTGCCCTCATTACTTGTTCCACTTTCATAATCATAACACGTACTTGAATTGAAGGTCTTCCTCAATTAAACAAGATGTTTTCAAAGTATTCTCATTTTGTAATACTGACTGTGATTTTCATGTTACTCCAAGGTACGTTTTCTAATGTTTAAAAAATATAACATGTATTTATATTTCATGTGTCTTCAAACACGCAGTCACTTCTGTCCTGAATCATAAAGTGGCAATGGTTATAAATCTAAACAAGACTGCACCCAGCCCGTCTGTAAAAGATTAAAGCTTCGCGAGAAGGTAGTGTTTCACACGATTTCGTAGCAAAATAAACCATGTCTGCATTCTGCGCATGAAATCAGCAAGTTTATCCTAGTGATCTATGCGGTCTGAGTTCGATCTCGCAAAGATTAATACGTAGACAACGAAACATTTCGGTGATGCATCTGGACAGTTCGTCAAATTCAAAGTCAGGTCTGTGCGACTGTAAGAGAAATAGAGTTTCCCTGGGAGAGCGATAGTGGTTCGCACGGTTTCAAGGAAAAATAAACCATATGCCGCATCGTCTATACACGACTAGACAATGACACTGAATCCAGTAATAGTAAATTTAAATTAAAAACTAGCAATAACGAACATGCATGTCTACGGAGTTAAATCAGCGAGTTAAATGTGATCTAGCTAATGACCTGTGTCTGAGTTCAATATATCACGCAAACAATATAATATATAGACGTATGATATATAGACGAATATATATATATATATATATATATATATATATATATATATATATATATATATATATATATATATATATATATATATATATATATATATATATACTACAATTAAGACAACGAAACATTTCGGTAGTGTATTAAAGCAGTTTGCCAAATTAAAACTGCACCCAGTGCGTCGGTAAGAATAATATCTATATTAATAAACCCTGCATGTGTTCTTCAGTATTTTGATCATTAATATATTCTATTTTGTGGCTATCCGAAATCTGACATCTGCCAAAAATTCGTGCGGAAACAGATGGTCGCTTGAGCACAGATTGGCAAGCGACTAATTAATAAGTGGCAAAGATTATAAATCTATAAACTATACTGCAGTCTGAATATAAAAGATTAGATTAAACTTCATTGGCATTATTTGAACCAACTGTGGAGTTAAATGTTTTTGAAGAATGGATCAGAATAACTGTTTGGACATTGGAATAACTACAATGTAGCTACACCAGTAGCTACTACACCAGTGACTAAACAGCCAATCGATCAGTTCAGTTAATTAGCTTGCATTAGCTTGATGCATACTTAGACAAATGAAATATACTTATGTGATATAAGTCATATAAATGAGCTGTGAAAGACACTGTGACATCAACAACCATCTATTTACATGGTACTTCATATAAACACAAGCACACAGACACGCAAGAGGAGTCCATTATCTACTTCGTTATTTTTTTTTTGTGTGTGTTTTGTTTCAGGCGCTGCTTGTTTCTTTGTGAAACATGTACAGACAGGGATGCCGGTATAAATGACACAAGAATACTACAGGTGGACGCGTCTTGGGGAAACTTATCTTTTGTAGAACTTTCCAACAACTGCCTGGATCCAGCTGCTCAGTTTCGGTTTCTTAATAATAGTGCCATGTTTAATTTGAAAAGAAAGGGATGTTTCGAGGCAACACGTAGGGCTGGTAGTGGTTATTATCTTCCTATGTTGTATTTGATCCTTACTCCAGATCCTTCAGATAATTGTCGTGATCGTGACCATGCTATAACCCAGACCTCTTGGGGAGGTTTATCTGCATATTATATACTTGATAAAGGGACGCGGTGTGCAGTCCCTGATAAAGATGCTCGAATTGCTATCCAAGGAATAGATCCCTACATCGGATTTACGACAAATTGTAACGATGCAGAGGATAAACGTTTTAATTTTGGTAAGTTGTTTTTATTTGTATGCAGTTAATTTGTTTGATGTCTTTGGAGGCTTCGATTGCCCAGTCGTCAGAGCAAGCGCCTCTCACCTCTGAGATCGTGGGCTTGATTCTCGCTACGGACTCATGTGAAAAGAGTCAGCCAACGCTCTGCCGAAAATCATGGATTTTCTCTGCGTGCTCCGGTTTCCTAGTGCCACTGGGAAAGTTGACCGGGCCCAAACACAGTTAGGAAAGTAATATCTGAATTGTTGTAAAGATAAATAGCCTAGACAGGCTAAGTAAGTAAGGGATTGGTCATAAAGTAACTGCTAGGGTGGGCTGGTGGTAAATCGCAATTGGCTGTATTTGCTGTGATTCGACCACTTCTTGTTGTTGTATAAACAAAGTACTGGCTTCAATAGCATCATTTGCATTTGATAATTTGGATAGTTTTGTTTACTTTTACTATTAATATCTTTATTTTTTGAAGTAGACATGCATGGGTTTTTGTTTGGTGGCCCAACCGTGGACACACAAAAAAATTGGCGGCCCATCGAAACTGCCCAATGATTTTCCATGGCCCATCCCAAATCACTGCAGCCCACCCTGGCAGTTACTTCATGATCGGTCCCTAACATGAGCGTAATCGGTCACTGAAAAGCACCAATGGGGAATGAGTCGAATAATGTAATGTCGGTAATAATAAAAAGTTCTTATTTGTGATTTTGCAGTCTGCATTTCATATTTACTTATTAAATTTATCGTCCAACATTGCCGCTAAGTTAGCCTAGAAGCTAGACCACTATGGCTAGAGGTAAACCACTTGTATTAAGAATTGTCTTAGCTGTATTATATATAGTAAAAGGTTTATGCCTTCTTTATACATATAAGAATGATTCGATTACCTCGGGAACTGCCGACGTCTTTATTTTGTCCACAAAAAACAAATATATTTTATGTCATCGACGAAGAAAATAAAACGTAGCGGTCTGAAGACAGAGCGTTGTTGAACTCGACGTATAATTAGATTTTCCTTATTAAGTAAATCACGAGCAAGACTCTACAGTGTGTACAACAAAAACTGAACAGATTTGAAATTGCTCTTAATTCCGCAAAACAGCTATTAGTATTCAGTATTTCATGTATATAGCTTCTTTGGGTACTTATAATGTAGAATAATGAAAACAATTTCTCGAACTCAAATTTTGTGAACCAGGGGGTGTGTCTTTCCCAACAAACTAAAAATGGCTTGCGCACGAAATTTAGTAATATTTTGAGTTAATATGTTGGGTTTTTAATTACTGTACAAAATTTCAGACAATTTGCTTTAGCTGTTTTGCGAAACTGAGAGCAATTTCAAATTTCTGTTGTAAATTTAACAAGTCATACATATATTATTAGCGCTGGTGAAGATCCGGGTTTACGGATCGAAAGCTTTGCAGTAACAAATTTATGTGGTGTTTCCACAAACAAAACTATTATATAATTTCAAATCTGTTCAGTTTTTTTATACACCCTGTATAGTTGTTCCAAATACCAGTTTCATATAATGCTGAATTTCTGTATAAGAATATCATGTCCAGCAATGGTGTTTTGCATTTTGTATACATCGCTATGCCGTTCAACAAAATCTCTTGCCCTATTAGATATTGTCATTTAGTGCTCACCATTTCTAAATTTTTGTTCTGTTCCAGGTTCAATGACGTGTCATGGAAATATGGTAAAGAATGCCAACTGTCCTAAAGATCAGTACATGGTGGTCAAGACTGCATCGTACCGTGGATTGTCTGACACAAAGATATGTGGTTTGAGCGGTGATTATAGTTGTGAAGTTGATGTAACATGTCTTGTTAAGAAACAATGTGATGGTCAACATGAATGCAATATAACTGTGGATGGCAACTTGTTCTCTGGTGATCCATGTCCTGGATTGTCAAAATATCTTTTCTTTGAATATCAATGTGTTAATACAGCGACGTCTTTTAATGAACTTTGTGGTATGTATGACTAATGAGAATAGAGAGGTTCAGATTTGACTTCCACTACTGCTACCTGTCACTCCTGTCAGTGGTTTAATGCACATTTGATTCGTGTAGATTAAACACATCTGATTGGTTAATGGTAACGGTAGTGGAAGTCAAATCTGAACCTTTCTACTTCTGTTGTAAATGCAAAGTAATCAATGCCCACCACCCATTGACATGAATCAATTTATCATAATCCCCCTGCACATTACACACGTTTTGACATTTGTCAGTTCAAATGTCAGTTTTATGTCGTACGAAATAGGAAATGTAAACAAAATAATTTTAAATCGTATTTAATACCGAAAGAAGAATATTGAATCAGAATGAGTTAAATATACAAACGAAAAGGGACAAAAAGCCATCACAACAGAAATCTGTGGCGTGAATAACTTTCAAAGTTTGAAAAAGAAAAATTTACCCCGAATTTAATGTGTATCAAATCCGTTTCCGCCTATATAGGCTACAGCGATAATATTATGATTTCGTTGTGCTTAAATTTTGCAACAATTATCACAAAAAATATCTTGAAAATCCTTCTAAACCTTTTTATATAAAGCATACAAAGCATATACATCGATAATGAACCGAAAAACTCAAAATTGTAAAAACTTTACTCGTGTGACCGTGTGACATGAAACTGACATGTTAACTCCAAAATTGTTTGATAATAGTACGAACAATTCCATTGAAATCGAATGCAAAGAATTTGTCAAATATTTGGGAGTTTTAATAGATAGTAATCTTACATGAAAATACCACATTGACAACATTAGCTCTAAAATAAGTAAAGCTATCGGCATAATTGCTAGACTGAGACACTTTGTACCTGTTTCAACTTTGCATAATATATATCGTTGTTTAATATTACCATATATAACTTATGGCTTAATTGTATTGGGGCATGCGTCAAAAAGGTATGTCAATAAGATACTTATTTTACAAAAACGGGCATTACGATTAATTTATTTTAAAAAATACAAAGAGCATGCTATTCCACTTTTTATTGAATCAAAAATACTTCCTATAAATATGCTTTATATCAAAACTGTTTGCAATTTAATGCACGATGTTTCTAACGAGTCTTGCCCATCTTCAATTTCTGATTGCTTCATTCACTCAAGACAAATTCACAACCATAACACTATAGGCATTGCGTATCTAAGAATTATTATATTGAATATGCAAGACTTACAACAACAAATTCATCATTCGCAAGAGTTGGAGCAAAAGTATGGAATAATATTTCCACTGATGTGCGTGAATTGGGAAGAACGAATTTCAATATAATAATAAAGAAAACCCTTCTAACAATACTTGAGCTTGAGGATGATTATGTTGATGTACCCACAATAGTTCAACAAATGGTCAAGCATTGAAAACAATTCTAAGATTCTCATGACATAGTTGTTATAGTATAGTATTCATTAAGAAATCATTAAGTGGTTGGTATATATGCTAAATATTATATATTTAGTATATAATTTTATGCCAAAAGTATACTTTTACTACTCAGATAAGTTATTATTCATGTAACACCTTACATCGTTACATTAATAATAAATATGAGCATATAATCCTGATTTGACGCCTCGATTAGCTTTGCTATTTTGCGTGTAGTACTGTATTTTATTTGTTATGTTTAAATTTAACAAAATTGTGAAATCGAAAAAAACAAAAATAATTATGGCCTGGTCACGTAATTTTGAAAACGAGTGTAATCTCTCATCCAGAATATTACCAAAGATAAATGAATACGATTTAGATGATCTGACACCGCGTACATGCATATGAAATATCAGTCGCTGCTCGAAATAAACATGGTTTTGGAGAGCAGACAATTACTTCGTTCAAAACATCTGTAGAAGGTGAAATAAAATAGATAAAAGCGTAGACAATTCATAGAATTCTTTGTCAATCTACAGGGTGTAAATTCATTTCTTACAAAATCAGTAGTTGCTTTTGCACTTTTAAATAAGTTGATAGACTGTTCCTTATTTAATGGTTTGAAACTATTTCAGAATAGTTTGATTATTACAGATTATGACTTTGATCGTCAATGTCATTTTTGAAGAAAGATTAGTGTGATGTTCGTTTCAGTTTTCATTTTTGGCTAACTTTTCTTAAACCTTTCTATCTGTAAGCGTCAGTCAGCGTGGCTGGTCTCCTAGGGAAGTTACCATGTTGGTTATGTGGAATTTGAACAACTCTCACACACAATGACGACATTCTCGCACACCATGGCTAAGATTCAGCACAATTGTCATGCATTAGTACTAACAAATCCCCTCCCTATACATCTCTAACTAATATACTTTATTTTATAAGAAACAACTTACCATATCAACTCATATGACTTTTAGCCCCAGAAGGTCCTCCACTGAATGTCAAAGTGATTGCAGAAAACTCATCATCATTATCTGTCACGTGGGAACCTCCTGAAAAAGACAAAAATGGCATGATCGTCAACTATAGTGTGTGTATCTCACATGAAGAAAGTAAACCTTGCTTTAAAGAACAAACTACAAAGGAAAAGATGTTAGTTATCGCAAGTATGAATGCCTCAACCAAATATTATGTTCGTGTTGTTGCAAGCACTAAAGTTGGTCCCGGACCATACAGTGAAAGTAAAGGGAAATTCACCAATGGAGGTAAGTTCCTCTTCTGCATTAAGACGAGTAATGAATAAAAGAAAGAGAGCTATATTTGTAAATCGGATACAGAGTTCGACCTATTTTAGATAAACTTTAGCTTAGATTTTCTCAAATAGTGAGAAGGATACAGATCGGTTGCCCTAGCCTGCGTCGCAGACGGTGGGTGAAACTTTGGGACGGTAAGTTTGACCGTCTTTAAACTTACCGTCCCAAAGTTTCACCTACCGTCTGCGACGCAGGCTACGGTTGCCCATGCTTTATATTTTATTTAAATAATTCATAAGTCTACATATTTTCTTCATAGAACAACCACAGGTGTCCACAAATGAAACAGAATATACACTGACTTTCTTTTTGCAGATTGCTTCACGAAATTTCACGTAAGTCGAAAAACCACATAGGAATATTGCATCTCGCGATAACGACCTGCACAGAATGTTAAGGCTGTTCTGTGAATTTACCTTGCGCATTTTATCACATAGAAATTTGTTTGTAGGCATTTTTACGTCGTGGCTTTGAAATTAAAAGACGGACAGAAACTATCACAGTGGGAAGTTTAAGTTTGGAAGGATTTGTAAGAAATATTTGAGGGAACTGTCTCACTGTTAAACACATATTTTTATTTACCCTATGAGTCTACATTCAATTCTGAACATTATTTTTAACTTGACAGACAAATATACCATCACTTTTTTTCTACAGAGTGAATATTACTCAACAGATTGGAGTCCTGCTTCAAAAACAGTCGGCGACGTCCTAGTTCCAGGTACGTCATTTAAGAAAATTCTACTGATACTTGAGCTAGATATCGGCTGTTATCCTAACAAAGTATACTACTTTTATCCTAACGAAGTATATACTACAGGAATTGAATTGTGAATTTATGGAGAAAGTATATTATTACAATCTTTAAATGATTTTGTATTTTCTGTTTCAAGGTGGCCCTCGTGTACTGACAAAGATATCCAGTGGTGACATAAAGGCAAAGGAAGGTGATCTTGTCAACCTACTGTGTTCTGCTCAAGGTGAACTTCCAAATACTTTCACCTGGGAAGAAGACCAGAAGTCACTGAAAAGTTTCACGGAAACTGAAAAGCCTCACCGCAGTTCGTTTCTTGTTGTAACAGTGAAAGGCCAAACAAGTTTTGGAAAATATATTTGTCATATCCAAGATCGATTTCAAAGCACTATTCACACAATTTCGATCCAAAAAGCTACAGGTAATGCTACATTTGATTTATTCAACCTTCATAAATTTTATAAAACAAAAACTAATCAGAACACAATCCGTTTCTGTTTTAAAATTTAAATGAGTTATCTTGAATGATTGTGTGTTCCGAAGATGTACATTTTTAGACATTCAAAGTTAACGTGTTGTTTAATTTTCGCATAGGTGAAAAATATCTTGCTGGAATTATAGTGTTAGCAATTCTGCTGGTAATTTCATTTGTTATAATTGCTTATTTCATCTATCAAAATCGTCGACTCAAATCATTGAAGGCAAGCCCGGAGAACAAGAACAAGGACAGAAACAATTCAGAAGAAATTGATGAAAATCCTGGCAATGATGATGCAAATTGTGAAGAAGTGGAAAATGAAGAGTCGACGTATACAGCTCTCAAAAGACCTGGCCCTGGGGAGGAAGAAAATGATAGTCATTTATACGCCCATCTAAATGAAGTACACGCGGACACGGACTATGTCAATCAGAAGGAAACTGGATTTTAAGAAGGCTTGTACGAAGTCCGTTTGGTTTATCTAGTGGTCTTAGTAGATAAGCTCAGTATAGAAAAAGAAGTCGGCATACATTTGTTAATATTAAAACCAAACTGAATGTTTTCGGCTTGAATACAAAAGTATCAATCTGTATAAATGACTTTTATCATTATATCTAAAATATACGTTAACTACACGCGTAAAAATTATGAGCCCACTGTTTAACAGGATTGAACAATGTTTTGCTGCCCACATTGTTCACACTTGTCAACAATATTGAATAATATTGTTGAGCCTGAATCGGGTGTACCAATATTTAACAATTAGTGAATGAGGTTGTGCACGATATGAAGAATTATCAAGCCCGAAGTTTGCCGAAGGCGTCATAATAATATGGCGCAAACGCGTCCAAATTTTTTTTCATATTGACTCTTTGACGTCATTTTGCTATTATGAATGTGAAAAATCCATATTTGGTTAGCCATTGAGTTGATATGACAATTTCACAGTTGGCTGTTAGCCCATCAGAAACCAGGAATTTTTTAAATAAATAATAATGTTCAATATTGTTGACAACTGTGAACAATGTGGGTCGCACAACATTGTTCAATCCTGTTTTCATCAACATTCACAGGGGGAGGGGGCGTCACAGGGGGGAGGGGGTGTAAAAAATGGGCATAAAAGCATCACGTATTTTGTGAACGACTCCTCAGTAGAACACACCTATATTAGACAAGGGAGGATCAATACGCCTACAAGAATGTTCCAAATTATTTGTTCCGAACATTAATTAAAATTGTTACACCATCACAGCAGGGTGCAACTGCTTTTTGTGCACATCTGAGAATAAAACAAAATTATGAAAATAAAATCTTTGATTTGACTAAACTTCTTGCTCAAAAAATACTTTGAAGATGAATGAACAGACACACATTGCTTTCCATTATGTGTTAGCTAGAGTTTTTAAGCTTTCGTAAATGTTGTGATTGAACCACAACAGACAACAAAGAAATATTTCGGAATTTTTTATATTTGTTATTCATGCAATTATAGCCACTTACATGTCGAGTTTGAAGGAATATTTCTCTGATCTTGCTTCGCTATATTGATACATTTCGTGTTTCGCGTTTATAACGTAAATTCCAACATCTTAATTGTTCCCCGAATTATGAGAACAAGATGTTGGAATTAGTAAACTTGGATTAAACTCCACTGCCACTAATTTTGCCAAACTCTGCCGTTGTGAAGTTAAATTTATGAGAAATGGATCAGAGTAACTGCTTGCATGCAATAAACAATGTACTGTACAGAGCGACTGAATAGTCAACCAGTTTAGTTAATTAGCTTGCATTATCTTGATGCATGTTGCATTAGCTTGATGCATGAAATTTTAAGATTCCGTAAATGTTGTGATTTAACCACTATAGACAACAAAGAAACATTTAGGAATGTTTGATATTTGTTATTCATGCAATTTCAAAAGCACCGCAAACTTACTGCTGAGTTTCAATGAATATTTGTTGTTGTACTTCGCCTCGTTGGTTCATTTCTTGTTCCGCTTTCATAACGCGTACTTGAATTTAACCTGCTTCCTCAATTAAAGAAGATGTTTTCAAAGTATTTTCATTTTGTAATACTGACTGTGATTTTCATGTTACTCCAAGGTACGTTTTCTGTCGTTTATAACATGCATTTATATTTCATGTGCTTTCAAATACGCAGTCACTTCCGCGCTGAATCTAACCTCATAATAAGTGGCAATGATTATAAATCTAAACAAGACGCTTTATGGAGCGTTAGTTAAGTCGCTGGGACTATAAAAATACTGAAATATGAACTTTAAGTACAAGTATAGCACTAAAAAAGACCGATTTGTTTTTCGAAAATATTGATTCTTGAAGTTTACAGTTTGCCTGGCAGTTCGCGCGAGTTAAATGTGACGTAGCCAATGACGTGTGTCTATATAAGTTCAACATGGATATATTTATGTCTGGAGAAATCCTTACAGCAAGTTCATAATACACCAGACATGTTTCCACTAACACATTCATATATATTATACATATAAATATATATATATACATATAAATATATATATATATATATATATATATATATATATATATATATATATATATATATATATATATATATATATATATATATATATATATATATATATATATATATATATATATATATATATATATATATATTCAATATTGAATTTGTGCGTAGTGAACTAGAGTGCTCAACACCAATAAATCAGTAGAGCAAATAAAAAGACATAAACAACAAATTTCAATCTTAAAATTTTATTTCATCAATATAATATTTCATCATAATAATATTTCATTTATTTTATTTCATTTTATTTCATTTTTTTTTCATTTTTTTTTTTCATTTTATCGCCTGATCGCCTGATGATCGTACGCTGTACGTGAAACACTGTGTAGTGATGAAATAAAATTTTAAGATTGAAATTTGTTGTTTATGTCTTTATATATATATATATATATATATATATATATATATATATATACAGGGTGTATAAAAAAAAGCGCAATCCTCGACTGAAATGTAAATTGCTAAACAAATAATAGACGAAAACCTTAAAGTTTACATTCATTTTAAAGCGTAGCCATTCAGCTTTCTAACAGTGGGTTGTTTCTTAAATTTGACTCATTGGTTCGCGGGTAATAATACTTTACGTTATTGCGATTGGAGATTAAAAAAATTGAGATGGAATAACAAATCGTTCTCATGAAAATAACTGATTTTTCATTAAAACAAAAATGTTGCATTTTATTAAATGGATTGTAACAATAAGTATAATTACGGCTTTTCTTCCACTATTTTTAACTCAGTTTGAAACTTCAAATGCGATATAATTTTGGCTTGGACCATCTAAGCTGACTGACATCAACTTGCTATAATTTCTGTTTACATTACACCGCAATTCGATGACATTCTGGCTCAGATACCAGAATGTTTTGACGATTTTTAGCATTCGTTTAGGATTTTCAAACAACCTGGTCTCTTTTAAAATACTTCTAATTTGTTCTTACGTGGTTTTCCAGATGTAGTGACCGAGTGACGACAACATTAAAGTTTAAAGAAGAAAATTCTAACATTTAAACCGACTAAACAATAACATAGTAAACTTGCATAATTAAACAGCAACTAAAATGATAGGTTTTACTAAATCTTTTCCTGTGCAATTATTACTAGCATTGGAGACAAGGATAATAGTTTGTTTGAAAGAGAAAAGAACAGGCTTTGAAGTAAGCCTAAAAGCGTTTAACTAGAAATAGTATTTCGAAAGTTATTAAGCACAAAAGATGAATTGCGTTTATTTTGATACACCCTGTATACTATATAGGCGTATATACTACAAAGACACCAAAACATGTCGGTAGTGTATCAAAACGTTTGTCAAATTGAAACTGCACCCAGTGCGTCTGTAAGAATAATATCTATATTAATAAACCCTGTGACATGTTCATTTTATTTTGAGCCTGACTGCAAATTATTTTAGTGCGATTTAATACTGTATGTGCATGGTGTCCGGTGTCCCTGATTTTCTCACCTCTTCACTCTTGGAATAAAACCCACTTTAAAATTCCATCTACCAAAACTGCATAAACATAACGAAACATGATGCTTGTGATGTTACTCTGAGTGTATATCCACACAGGGCAAGCTTGAAAAATATGCCTGACCACGGTGGGAATCGAACCTACGACCTTTGGAATACTAGCTAGCCCAATGCTCTGCCAACTGAGCTACGCGATCAGGTCGGTTCGAGTATGTGATATTTCGGAACAGAATCTAGTTCCTTCGATATCAATGTTATCTAATAATAATCATGAATTTTTCTGTGTTGGTGTAATTACACCAACACAGAAAAATTCATGATAACGAAACATCTACTAAAATTGCATAAACATAGCGAAACATCCATCAACATAACGAAACATCGACCTGATTTTCTCACCTCTTGGAATAAAACCCACTTTAAAATTGCATAAACATAACGAAACATCTACCTCGGTGCCCCAGCGACTAACTACACTGCAGTCTGAATATAAAATATTGGATTAAACTTCATTGACATTATTTGAACCAACTGTAGAGTTAAATTTTTGAGGAATGGATCAGAATAACTGCTTGCAATAACATGAACAATGTAAATGACAATGTACAGTGTCCCAAAAAAAAGTCCCCTGTCGTATTTGGTGGTATTACTTCGCTATATTTAATCAAAGATTCAAATTTTTTGCAGTGGGTTGAAAAACAATCATATATTAATCGTAGTATTTATCTCACCAAAAGACTAAACCGTTCGGCTTCTAGAGATATTTAAGGTGGCGACACCAATTTTGCAACACGTCCAAATTACAGAAATTAAGATTAAAAATAATGCAAACTTTGTAGAAGGATTGCTAAAGTTTCTAGCCACCTTTTTGCTCAAAAACAAAATGTTTTTTATCTCTATTATTAAACTTGTTTCTTGTAGAAATTAATAAAAAAAGACGAAAAATCCCTGGCAAATTGACAAAGGCAAAGCTAAGGTTGGGAAAATGCCATAAATTTGCTGTTTTTCGTTCATTAATTTGTCCATTAAAGAGCAAATGTTGGGATTTCAGCACTAGTCATTCCCATTTTCTGGGGATTGCTTCATTGTTTTTACAGAAAATTAATTCGCGATTTTGGCTACAACTAATTACAAGTTTTGAATATTTTATTTACAATATTTTATTACGTTCCGTAATATGTTTAAACCTAATATTCACAATGTGGACAAGTGGCAATATTGGTGTCGCCACCTTAACTAACTCTAGAAGGCGAACGGTTAAATATTTAGGTGCGAAAAAATGCAACGATTAACGTAATATGTTCATTGATAAAAAAATGAAAAAATTTGAATATACCATTACAGGTAACGATGTAATAACACAAAATATGATAGGGTACATTTTTGGGGGGACACCCTGGACATCAGCGACTGAACAGCCAATCAGTTTAGTGGAATATACTTTTGTCGAATATAAAGGCCGTTTTCCACTAGGCGGAATTTTTCGCGCGGAGCGGAAAATTGCGCTCGAAAATTTTCGAGAGAAAAGGTATTTCGATTTCCACATAGGTGGCCGTGGCGAGCGGAAAAGTCAGAAATCAAAACGCGCGAAAATCAAATCTCAAAAATCAAAATGGCGGGTATAAACCAAAAGCAACTGCAAAGGTTAATAATTTTAATTGTGCTTCGCAGAAGACTACGCAGACAAAATGAAAAGTACAAGAAGCGGTTTTGGATGCGGAAAATTTATCAAGAACGCATCTTAAAGGGAGAATTCCACCTATTAATCAAAGAAATAATCCTTTTTGACCACGAGTACTTTTTCCGATGTTTTAGAATGGTACCAGCGACTTTTGAAAAGCTTCTTTCTTGGGTTTCTCCTTACATACAGAAAAAAACAACAAAAATGCGCGAACCCGTTTCACCCAGTGAAAGATTATCAGTTACTTTGAGGTACCTAGTTACGGGAGATGAACAAACTAGTATAGCAGCTAGTTATCGTATTAGCCCTTCGACCATTGGGAGGATTATTGGTGAAACCTGTCAAGTTCTTTGGCAAGTTTTGATCGAAAAGGGTTACTTAACTGCACCAAAAACTAAAGAACACTGGAAGAAAATTGCTAGAGAATTTGAAACTAGATGGAACTTCCCACATGCACTAGGTGCCATCGATGGAAAACACGTAGTGATGCAGGCACCTGCTCGTTCTGGATCTGATTACTTTAATTATAAGAAGACACACAGTGTTGTTCTTATGGCAATCTGCAATGCAGACTATGAATTTACACTTGTAGACATTGGTGATGCTGGTAGACAGAGCGATGGTAGTGTATATGCCAATAGCTTTCTTGGCCATGCCATAGATAATAATCTATTGCAACTCCCTGAGGCTGAAAAACTCGACCCATCTGACCCATCAAGCAAAACTTACCCTTACGTATTTGTCGCTGACGATGCCTTCGGACTCAAGACGTTTATGATGAAACCTTACCCAGGACAGAACTTGACCATTGCAGAAAGAGTGTTCAATTACAGACTATCAAGAGCACGACGAATTATTGAGAATTGTTTTGGAGTTGCAACATCACGTTTTAGAGTGTTTCGAAAGCCTATCATTGCAAACGTAGAGAAGGTGATAAATATCACCAAAGCGGTTGTTGTTTTGCACAACTTTTTAATGGCAACAAGATCTCCGGAAGATACCCACAGTTACTGTCCACTTAACTACACAGATCATGAATCAGCAGCTGGTCAACAATCTGGAGAATGGAGGAGGGGGGAAAACATAAATGAAGGGATTGTCCCTATACCTCAGACTGGCTCAAACAACTATTCTAAATCAGCCAAAAATGTTCGTGATGACTTCAAGGAATATTTCAATTCCAAACAGGGAGCAGTCAGCTGGCAAATGGATATGGTTACACGAACTTTAAATACATTTGACAAATAGTTTCAATTATAAAAGTATTGTTTCTATATTACTAAAACGTCTAGTAACTGGAACATAAATCATCAGGGCTCGAAGTAGAGAAAAATATGGCCTGTCATTCTAAATTTTTTTGGCTGGTGAAATTAATTTTAGTCTGCCATTTTCATAACTACCAAAATGGAAATGTCTCATATGAGTCATCTTGTAAAAATCAATATTTTCATGATATATGCATTTTTAATATTTTTAAATTTGTCTATTTTCCTACAGTAAACTTGGATTTACATTTGAAATGTAAACGCATTTAGTCGCCTAAATGATCTAGTATACAGGTATATTATGAGTTGTGGTAAGCAAATCAGACGAAATATATCTATATAATTTCAGCTGCCATTTTTTTTGACTTGGCAGTTCAAATTTGTTTTTGCCTGCCATTTCTAAAATATGGTCTGCTATTGCATGGCCATTGGCAGCCCACTATTTCGAGCCCTGCATAAATACAACTTTAACTTTAAACGTTTGAGTGTTCAACTTGTCACTACATTTAGGTGAAGTCACTCTATTTTAATGAAATTAGTTACTGTTCATCACTAAATTCAATCTCAAACAACAGTTGATTTATTTTTATTTTGGCGAGCCTGTTTTGTCTTGCAGACATCTTTTTTAGCACTGGTACAAGGCTCTTACAGAACAAAATATCTTCATCATCATCACCAACAGTGCCAGATTTAGATGTGGGAGCCTGTATATCCTGCAATGTTTTTACCAACAATGTATCAACAGCATATGCCATTTCAGCTCTTGACTTACTTCGCTTGGCAGGTGTATAAGCAATAATTTCATTTTCTGCCTTACTTTTTCCTGGTGCAGAGCTTGAAATGTCCTTTGCTGCTGCTGAAGCTATAGTTGAAGTATTGGGGCAGAGTACTGACTGGGTTACAGAACAAGTTGGTGCAGAAGGATTGACTGAAGGTGTATCTTCGACTTCGATTACTGGTGTTAAATTGCTTTCTGTAGGTTTGTTACTTACTTTGCTGTGAAGAAAACCCAATTGATCAAAATACTTGCATGTAGCCAACTTTGAAGCAGCTGCACCCGACTTTGTAGCCTTGGATCTTCTATCAAGGCACTTTTTCAAGTTATCTTTTAAATATTTCAACTGGGTCTTTAGGAATTCCACTGTAAACACAATAAAATACTTTAAGCTGCATACAACTTATGCGTGTGTGTGTGGGGGGAGGTGGTCACAATAATGGAATTGCAGAAATAATGATAAATCATATTCATAATTGACAATAATCAGATAAGATGGAGGCTTGTCAATTTTACCATAATTTGAATGATAATCGACATCCGCTATCTTTTTATTACGTTGAATTCTGTACCTTTAAATCCCAAGTTTGCCTGAAAAGTTTGTGAAAAGTTTGCCTGACCACGGTGGGAGCGCCACGGTGAGTATCATATCTTAGAATATCATTGATACTGAAGTAACTAGACTCAGTTCCAAAATATTACCAACTCGAACCGGCTTGATCTCGTAGATCAGTTGGTTGAGCATTGGACTAGTATCCCAAAGGTCTGTGGTTTGATTCCTACAATGGTCAGGCAAACTTTCCAGCTTGCTCAGTGTGGATACACACTAAGAGTAACATGACAAACATCACACAGTTAGGTTGAATCATATATTAATTAAGTTATTCAAACTGTCCATTATAGAATTCTTACCATCTTTATTAAATATGTTTGAGAGAATCTGCCATGCATTTTGTTTCGCATTTCTGTCTTTATAGGAAGACAGAGATGTATTCCACAGACACCCAAGTTTTCGAATTTCTTCAATAAATAGCTCAACCTCAAAATCTGTTGACACTCCTCTTTCCTCTTCAGCTTCGCCTGCTTCTACGCTGGTCAAAGGTGCTCCACTTGGCTCTGTTGCTGGGTTGGCTATAAGAGTGTTTCCAAACAATGAAATATTACTTCTTTAATTATGATATAAACATTTTTTGTACAATACAAGGAAATATTAATAAACAAAACTAGGACAACCAATAATGTATGATGAATGTATTAACAAATTTGCTGTATATACTTTCAAAAAATCATGAGAAATGTTTGAAAATTCTCAGTGTAAATACAAGTATATAGTATTCAAAATTCAAATCAATAAGATCAAAATCAATTGAATTATTGAAATAATAATGACAATATATTCAGAAGATATAACGAGAAAATTACCAAAATATGTACACCTCTGATGTGATATAAGTGGATATAAGACAATAATAAAAGAGGATTTGCTGTTAACCTTGCTCTGTTGATTCTGTTGCAATATTTGGAATACTTTGAGATGTGTTTCCCATTTGTTGTTGCTGTTGTATATGGCCAAACGGTTCAGTAACTGATCCTTCATCCAGTTCATTAAGTTCTTCTTCGTGTTGTGATCTGGCAAGAAGCTCTTTCAACGAGTTTATAGTAGAACTAAATCTTCCACGGCTTTCTTCGCTCATCATGTTGTCCGCCATGTTGTTTCTTTGACGGGCGGAAAGCGGAAAAAGTCGGATTGAGTTGAACTTCCAAGCGAAAGCGCTTTTCGCCAATCGCAAAAATTAAATAGCTATTGCGCATGCTCAAATAGCCTTTTCGGGCGGAAAATTCCCGAATATCAATAATTGCGGGGGCAGATATTCATATATTCGTGTTCACAGACTGTAAAAATAATCGATTTCAAAAGAAACTAGAAAATACATGCATGCAGAAACCCTCGCCTTGCTGACAAAACCATTGTATTTTCCGAACATGAAGTATCTAGAGCAGTTGTCATGGTAACACCACAGATTAAGAGGACTCTTAATCTGTGGTAACACGATAATTTTTTAAGAATATTCTTACAAATATCTTAAAAATATCACTTTTAATTACAAAATTATCAATTTCCCAACATATATATGTTAGGTATTTTATTATACGTAATATAGGCTTCAATTTAAGATAAAATTCAACCACAAACGCTTCGCAAAACGTTTTAAAGTGTTCTTTATAAAACTAAACAGCCTTTTATAATTAAATGGCTTTATCGATAAACTTTGAGTTTGCAATAAAATGATTTCAAATTCTCGCTTGCAAATAACTTTGCTTTCTTTTTTATTTAAAAAATTCAATATAATAAAAAAGGGAATCAATATTAAAGATACACTGATATTATATGCTGTCTTGTTTAGTTGTTTCATATACGCAAAGGCCGTCGGGTTTTAAACCATTATAAAATCAATATTTAAAACAAACTTACCTTCGTTAACGTCGGCTCCCTTCTTTTATCCTATTCTTTCGCCCTTTCTTTATGAGAAAACTTTTGAAATTTACAAAATCTTGCAAAAATGCGAGCAAAAAACTCATCAATCATCAAATCAAGAAATGTTTGCTATTTCGCTGTCGTCATGCAGTCGTTATAATGCAAATTTTAAATTGGACCAATCAGTGTCCGCTATTCATGACAGTCCGCCATATATTTGAGATCAGTGAGGATGACCACCCACGGTTGGTCACCCACGCCTGCGATATTTGATGAACTTTTGACTCCGCTAATGCTTTCGTTTCCCCGGGTGTAAATAGCCGGGGGGAATTAGTACCCTCGCACGGCGCTTCGCGCCGTCGGCTCGGGGATTAATTGGGCAGAACACGACCACGTTTACACGCTACCAGACGAATTTAGCACCATGTTTCCACAAGACCAAAGCAGTAATGGTCTCGTCTAAACAGCATGGGAACTTTGGTCTTAAACTGTCAAACCTGTGGTCAGCCTAACAGGCTCTCGAAGTTGTAGCAAACAAACATACTCGTTATACAGTCTCATATTGATCAGTTGTTTTATTTTTGGTGTTGAAACTTTAAAGGCTATTCAGCGATGGTACAAGATGGTCAGAAGAACTTCCTATTGTTGTAGTCTTAGCTCACAAAGACAATATGACAAAGAATAGCATATACTCACTGGTAATGTTGTTTATGTTATACATTTCTGTTTTGCAATGTCGCCATGCATGTCAACATAAGTACTCCGTGTATATATGACATCCATGCGAGTCGAAGCCATTGCCAGCATTTCAGTTCAGGGTTCGTTGTTTTTTAGTGCCTGCAAGCAAAATTCATAACGTCACACTGTGTCTGCAAAAATGCATCATATTTTACGCTTTGAGAGCTAAATATTGTTAAAATGCCTTGTATTTTAAATTGTACCTGCACAAATTCAAAATTTAATGATGCCTGGTGCAGTCGCTTAGCGTTAGACTGCATGTGTAAAATAATAAAGTATATGATCAATGGTAGTTAATGGCTTAACAAGAGAGATGAACATACAATTAGGTTAACTCATCAACGCCCAACACGTTTCACCCAAAGAGTAAATAATAAAGTAGGCACATTGCGGTTAATATAAGTGAATATTACAACCATCTGAAATTTGTTCCTTTATTATACTGCAGGAAATTACCAAGGCAGCATACGAGTTATATCGTCACGTGATATTTGCGTTACTGGATGTAGATGAGTATCCATGGTGGGCAAGACAGTTTGTTCCTCGGGATTATGACACAACACAAATGACTCGTAAGTACCAAATGTCAGGTCAGGTGTATGTCCCACATTGGGACCTCACAAATTTGTATGAAATTTTAGGGAGTTGTCTGCTAAAATAACCTCGTTCCCAGGTACTAAAATAGGTTATAAATAGACTACAGCCTAGCCCTTGCTGTTCTGAACCTTTACACGTCGCGCATATCTTGGATGAGAGTATGCTTAGGTATAACCCAGATAGCAATTATCAACGGCAAAGAGAGAGAGAGAGACTGGCACTAGGGTCAGCCGTGAGGCCCTGGGACCGAGGATGGACTCAGTAAGTAATGTCGGCAAATTCAGTTTATGGTAAAGGAGCAAAGAAATAAGCTCGAAATATTATAGATCATGACAGCGTGTAGTGATACCAGAGAGGCTAGATTGGACAAGTACGAGAGGCTAATTGGGAAGCTTTCAGTATCCAGAATGATTGTGCTGAATGTGAGAGTCAGGGTACTTTAATGGAGAGAAAGGTAGCTCTAAACCAGGAAGAACCTGAATGAAATGCAACTAAAATATGGTAAATATCTCTCCTTTTAGGCTCATCAGACTTGGAATATATACCTCCTCCATTATATCATTACCCACGACTCTGTATCGTCAGAATGACCGATTATCATGAAGCTGCATTTTTACCCAATGCAGAGAGTATGGATAGTGCTAAAAATATCCCTAAATTGTTAGGAAATATCAACGCTAAAGAAATCATTAAGTTTGTAAAACGGTATTTGCAGAATCCTCACGATTTGCTGGTCAAAACAGAGGAATTTTAGCGATGGATTGTGGTGATAAAAATACGCACAACCCATGGCATGCTTGTTTCCCAAATATTGCAGGGGCTTTCCCTTTTAGGAGGTAAATCACTATTCATTCCATAGTTAAAAACCAAAAGTGTTTTGAACCATCGTTTCACCCGCTGCCTACCCCCTCGCTGGAGCTGCATATTAAACTGAACTACACAGTTTCGTAGATAAGTCTATTTAATCTGCAGATAAGTTTTATATTTAACCACGTATTATTTAATATATATATTATCCCAATAATATATCAACCATCAATGAAATCCGTTATGGTCATTTTGTAGTGTTTTCAATTTTGAACCCTTAATCAAATGGCAAATCAGACTTGCTACACATTTTCCCAACATATACTGTAATATTTAAAACTGGTACTTGACAATAAGTGAAACAAAGGAGGCGAACATTAAACTTGCTGTAGAACCTAAACTGCTGACAACTACTCCTTTGCTTGCCAATGCTTTACGAAAAGCATCATCCAATTCTGGTGGCAGATCCAAATAAAGACGTCGTTTATCAATCTGTTTTGTTAACCAGACTAAATCCTCGACTTTAACGTTGTCATCAACAGCAGACCAAATTGTGAGTGTGTAGCGGGAACTGGTATCTAGTAGCCATTTGAGCGGTACCCATGATTGTCGCACATATATCGCACGTATAGGAAATGTGATTATTTGTGTTGTATTTCGACAGATCCTTTCCATTTCATCGACCATATCTTGAGTATAACCTGCATTTGAAATACCTTCATACCATCCAGTAGTCCAGCCGAGAGATAAAGTCGCATCTGGATACGTATTGGTACATGTTGTGATGAAATCGTTAGCATCCACTGGGGGATTCGATCCTGAGTTAGATCCAGGCCCTTTTAAGATGTCTGCGTTTAACCACAATGGTTTGTCTGTTGTATCGTAAACTGACTTTAATAACAGCATTGCTGGACCTACGGCCATTATAGTCTTAAAATCCAGTTTAATTCCTTTTCTTGTTGGCTTGAGAGAGTTGAGAAATGTCTGCAAAGTTAAGTCGCTGTCATTTGCAGGTGGATGCGCCATAATAGGCTCTGTATCATTTCTGTTGTATCTCATAAGTACATCGCCTTCAAACATTAAAATATCCGTCTTTAAGAATTCGTCAAGTTCAGCTTTACTATTTACAGCGTGAGCCCATGTGATATCCTTTGCATCCGTTTTGTTAAAGTACTCTAAATCTGCAAAGGGATCTTGTTTTGAGGACATCTGGCTTCCTGGAATAAATAATAATTATAATGATATATGACTCCTCAAAAGAAATAAAGGAGTCTGTGACCTCCAAATCGGTGTGAAAATTACTCATTAATGAAAATGACGTTCGCCCACCAAAACTGCAAAAGTAGGAAAATGACTCAAAACGACTTTTTAATTTACAGTGTATACTTTGCATATAAATTATGTCTTCTCACCTGACTACGGTGCTACGCTCGCGAAAGTAATTGACGTTTAATTTTTTACAGTCTACCAATCCCAAATTCTATTTGAATTCATATAAGTAACAAAACTATTTAGATAACGGTAGTACCATCATCGTCATGGCCGTCACTATAGGGGGGCGGGACATCTTGTCCCCAAAATAACGGATTTATCGGCAAATTGTTTTCGTAGTCAGCGAAAATATTCGAGTGGCTCGTATTAAAAAGTAATAGTCGTAGTAAAATTTTTTATTATTTTAAGAAAATTACTGAAAAATTTAAGTAATTTATTAAGGGGAAAACGGTATGTCCGGAGAAATCCCCCCCCCCCCGCCAACAATTTTGGGAAAAGAAATATTAATTAGCGACTGAAATGTTGTCGGCAAATGCGATACTACACTCCCTGCTTTAGCCTCTTCGCTACGGCCCTGTTCATCGTGCGCGTTTCCCCATGACGTCACTGCATGTCATTGGACGCCATCTTGGTTTATTTTATTAAGTTTACGTTGGCCATAACCGATGAATATATATTGCCATACAGGGCCTTTTTTAACATACAAGCTGGGGGGGGGGGCAAATGCGCCCAGTCCCCCCTTGTGCCACCCCCCCCCACGAAATCACATTTTGCCCCCCCAGGAAAAGTCCCTTTTTTCTAAAATTATACAAACAAACCAGCGAAGATTAACAAATAGATAAACGGAAAGTAAGTTTTATGCTTTGTCCTTGTTTAACAAAAAAATTTTTTTAACAAAAAACGATTTAAATTGTTACGTTTCTCCACCACTAAGTAATGATAAATTATTGTTAATAATATTTTTATTTTTTGGATGCTCAGAATGCAGGAAATAGCATTTCCGGGTTTCAAATTTCAAACATTTTCTGGGGGAGTACACCCCCAGACCCCCCCCCCATTCATGCGTGGTATATTGGCCACACACGTGGCCTTCAGCCATTGCTATCCCCCTCTAATATATTATCTCACAGAAAGGTCCCTTTTCAAAAAATCCCCCCCCCCCCACGGGAAAATCCTTAAAAAAGGCCCTGTTGCCATATATGTGTTTTGAAAACCAACCAATTAGATGGTGGACTTTGTATTTCCCATGCAAACAATCAATATTACATATATTGCCAATTTAAAAGATTTTTGGAATTTGAACTATAAATTACATAGAACATTTCTTGGTATACTGTTTTACTTTAACTACCTGTCCAGTCAAGTCTGTGAACCTAACATGTATTTTCCAGTGCCCCGCTTGCGGAAATGGAAGAAACGGGGTTTTTTCAACATTTTATGCCCAAATTGTTTTATATTACAGTGCCTGTAGTTAATAGTTGCGCAAAGGCTTATTAAATAGACCCATTGCAGTTGACCCATTGGCATTGCGCTCATGCATGACATCTGGAGGACAACTTGAAATGAACCGCTAGTTAATCATACATGTCCAATACTGTCGAATCATATGATCATATCCATTATGGAGATATTCGTAACTGGATACTTCGCATGTCATTAGCGTAGGGCGAAACGATTTCTCCACAGTGATTTGTCCAATGGTTTGACTCGTCGGGTCCGTCCTCCGACTGGAGTTGTTACATTCGTACCAAGCCAAATAAACTACGTAAGCGATGCTGTTTTAATAAGCAACGCTCAATAAACCGCGATGGTTCGTTCTGGAAATATTAAAATCAATTGCGTATACGAATCTTTTAAGCCTAGGAATAGGATTATCAATTCACTAAGCTGATTCACGAATCAATCCATTCGTGCCCTGACGGAATCAAACCATTGGACATCTTTTAAGCCTAAACCTCAGACTTACCAATGCACTAAAGCGGAATCACGGATCTTTCCAATGAACCGACCCGACGAATCAATTATAATATCAAACCATTGGTCTCAAATCGAGCCACTCTAATGCAATAGATTAGGGGTGTGGATAAAAGACGGGCGCGGACGCGGGACTGGTCTGCGCGCGTTTCAACCGCGTGTATTAACTCGAAATTTACGGATATTCAAACTTAAGCATATATGAAAATATCTACATTTTGGTGGGATTTATAATTATTATTATTCATCTTATTTAAAAACGGTAGCCCTTCAGTTTAAACTGCTTTTCAAGGGGCCGTTGAAATATTTACAAATATGAAAAATCTATATTATATACTAAATATATATAAAAAGAAAGCCCAGTGAACACTATATAATAATATAACTTAGATTGAATCACATATATAACTAGAAATAATATGTTGTGTTAACTCTAGCTCCCGGTCCCAAAAATTACTCCTTCGAATCAAAATCCGCCGCACAAGTGGTTTGTCACACACTATTCCTCTCCAAATTGGTAAAATAGTTGTTGATTAAGGTTGTGAAGTTACTTATGGAAAGCTCTTTATAGTTGTTGGCAATATCATTTGGAAGATTGCTGCAGCAACTCGATATGAAAACGATTTCTTCATGAAGTCTGTTTTAGGTTTTTCCAAATAAAGTTTACAGTTATTACTTCTTAACAGATACATATCATTTAGGCAAATGTTAAAGATATTGGTCATGAATTCTGGCAGTTGGTCTTGTAAGGCCTTAAATGTCATTATCATTTCTCTTTTCGTAACGAGTGGTTTCAATTGGTTCCCAGTGTAAGATATTAAATATATCTTTCGATCTTACTTCGTATAAGTTGACCCTGTGGCTGTGATAATTCGAGCCGCTCGTTTTTGCATTTTTAAAAGCTTGTCTGTATGTGTACGACTGCCGTCATTCCACACGTTGGAGCAATAAGTAAAGTGAGGAAAGACTACCGGGTGTTTCAAAAAAAAGTACTCCAATTTGATTCTTATAATAACTTCAAAGCGAGTGAAGCAATTAGACTCAAATAACTTTCATTAAATACAGGAAAGGCTAACTTAGATTTTGATATATCATGCAGATGTAAGTTTCCGCTCATTATTTACTGAGATACTAACGTTTGAACTTATGCAAGTTTTTGATTGATTTTTGTATCTGCGAAGCAGATATATTGCTATCGCAAACGTACCGTACCGTACCGTAATGTTACCGTATGTTAACACATAGCCATTCAGTGACGAGCTTATATAATTTAAACCATTTTATGCAAATTTAAGCCAATCAGCGATTCGTTTACATCAATTGTTTACATCATGCCCGCATCTAACCTGCGAACGGGCATACTTTAGCCTCGTCAGGCCTCGTGTATAAATCGTGTTATTCTTTCAAAAATATCTTTATATTTTTATCAATTTATCTCGAATTGGCTGTCTTTTTTTTGTTCCGAAGTTATTTATCAACATGGAATCTTATCCTCATCTGGTAAGTAGTCAAATACCACATATTATATATTTAAATACCAAATTTGTGCAAATATATGTCCCACATATTTTATAATACACGAGTTCGCCAGTTCGGCAAATATTTACTATACTATCTATAGTTAATATTGCCGCATCTTCGGCGTAGAGTTTACATGGAATCGAATGCACTCTGGAATTTTTTTATTAATATATTACACTGTATAAAATATTGGATATTTTCGAGGATATTTTAAGCCATTTATCAACATAGTTCAACAACACGATTGTTTTTGTGTGATTGTGCTGTACGTGTTAAACCGAACAGTGTGGTATATCATTAACTGTGCACAGAACTGGAATTTAATTATATACTTCACTCATGACCTTCAAATCATTCTCAATTATTCAGTGGTCTTCGACATGTTCACCAAATATTTTGTGTATGTTACTCAACAGTTAACATTGGCAAGTGTAAACAACAAGTGACATTAACTTTTGTTTCATATGATTACAATAAAGTTTTGAAAATTTGATGAGTATGGATTGAATTGACAGGTGACAGTTTACTAAATAGCCTGCTGTATAGACACTTTGAATATTGTTTGCATGAAATTTTTATTTGATCAATGGCACACAATGTACAAAACTAAACTTGTGATACCTTCTACTCAAACCGATAATCTCCCACAACACAATTGTTTTTGTGTGAATGTGCTGTATGTGTTAAACCGAACAGTGTGCTATATCATTAATTAACTGTGTACAGAACTGGAATTTAATTATATACTTCACTCATGACCTTCAAAACATTCTCAATTATTCAGTGGTCTTCGACATGTTCACCAAATATTTTGTGTATGTTACTTAACAGTTAACATTGGCAAGTGTAAACAACAAGTGACGTAATTTTTGCTTCATATGATTACAATAAAGTTTTGAAAATTTGATAAGTATGAATTGAATGGACAGGTGACAGTTTACTAAATAGCCGGCTGTATAGACACTTTGAATATTGTTTGCATGAAATTTTTATTTCCTGACTGCATAATTATTTGTTACAATCATGATCACATTATAAAGTTAGTTAAATTTTCTCTGTGCTGGGGTGGGTAGCACTTGCCCTGCTGCACTCCCCGCTGTGTACAGCCCTGTTTTAAATCTTATCTGCCATTATAATAAGTGATGAAATATTTCAATTGTCCCATGTCATCTTCATTATTCAGTTTCTTTCAAGAAAATACAAAATGTGATCAAGTTTTTTCGCAGATACATGTACGCGTCGCGTACCTATTTTTAAAAATACCATGCAAAAACAAGTTAAGGGGTAATAAATTGCCTATTCATATTTTGAGTAGTCTCAAACGAACAAAACAAAGTTGACTGTTTCTAAGTTTGAATAGGATAAATATGGTAGTTTAAATAATACTGTTCTAGCCATCTTTTTGCGAATACATATTACTGTATCAGCGCTATATTTTTTAAACATTTTGTTCCACGAATGTTGCATATCTCTGGGGAGTTGCATGTTATGTTATGTTGTTATGTTTAATAATATGGTTTAATTGTGTTTCATTTTGAGTATGCCAAGATTAACTAAGGATCAAAGAGTTTGGATTTGCTTAGAGCATGC